TGCATTAGTCATGACGTCCCGGTAGGCTGCGTCGATGGACTTCTCCTGATCGACAATTGTCACCCTCCCATTAATGTCAAATCCCGGAATTTCCTTACATGCCCGAAAGACCTTTCCCCAGGACTCTTTGTTCTCAGGGCCCACGAAGTGCGCAAAGACCAAAGGACAGAGCTGATGATTTGCATCGTACCCGATTACCTGAAAAGTAGACCCATACGACTGCATTCCTACCCCTTCGCAGTGTGCGGCATCCGCACTGGCCGTTCGTCGACCATGTTGGCAGTAACTCTGCACGGAAGAAGGAACAAATAGCAATCCGTTGTAATAGCGACCGTCGCCTATATCAGATACTTGCACATCTGCGGCATTAAAGGAAGCATCCTTCGGTAAATCGTTTGCCTTCTTGCACTGCTCGAATATATGACGAGCCGCCTTAATCCGTTGTTCCCTCATCTCCGCTGCACAGCAAGTAAAAATTTCTACCTTATGCCCCACCCCTCTGAGCGCATCTGCGTAACCTTCCAATGCGGCCATGTCTACGGCGCGCGAAATGGTGAAATGACGGAGCAGCTCTGTCCGAATACTCCGATAATGGCTATATGGAGGCTGACGCAAATACAGGCGCTTCGCTCGAACAACGGAAGCGATTGTTTTGCAAGGCACATTCGGATCGCCTTGCACGTGTTCTAAAATTGCTCGGGCAATCTGATGTGGGGTATATGCAGGGGCACAAGAAGACGATCTTGACGCAATTTCCATTGGACTGTCCGCGACATGTTGCCCGAAGCGCTCATTGAGGTGGTCTTAGTACTTGTTCAGTTTCCAAAAACCGGTCTTCGGTTGCCAATCGAAAACAAAAGTCGCATGACACCCATCTGTGCGGCACTTCATGCGCACTTTCACAGTATTCTGCATAATGTTAACTCCCCGTTGCACCCCGAGGTTCGCAGTGTGTGCTCTAATCAGCTGCTCACATCTCCACCGGCCCTTCAAGGCGATCCCCACTTTCGGTGTAACGTCCACAATTGGACGGGGCTTCCATGTCATGGCAGGCAATCGATCTGCTCGCAGTGCATCTTTCGCACGATTCACGGTTCGTCGCTTCGATTGGCGCTTCTGTAGCGTTCGACGGGTTTTCTTGTCGATATCATCCGGAATAGGATCGGCAGCGCGCTCTTCAACATCCTCTTCCTCTTCCTCACATTCGATTGCAATGCAATTCTTCGGGTCGAAGTCCTCGTCCGACGTAACGTCTTCTTCGGAATCAATTTCCAAGCACTCGGCCACCTCTCTGTCTTCCTCAAAATTCCTTCCTGCCTCACTCCCAAGATCATCTCCTTCATCTTCAAATTGTACTCCGTCGATGCATTCTTCCATTCTCTCCACGTCTGCGAACACCCCTGAATTTTCGCCATCCTTGCTGACATTTTCCTCGTCCATTTTGTCCGCGCTGCTCTCGCGAGAAGGATCGTCTGCTGTGCTGCGAAATCGGCAGAAAAGACGACGGGATGGTGGTGGAGTTATACATTTCTCTACCTCGTCCACATCATCGTTACGTTCACCGTTGGACATACTATCTTCATTCTCTCCATCCTTGTCAGTACCATCATTTTCAAGCACCGCCCGCAAGTGAGAAGCCATTTCTCTCTCTGTTCTCTCCCTTTTCTCTCTGTCCCTTTCCTTCTGCAGCTGCGCAGCCCTTGCTCTTTCTTCCCTCTCCTTTTGCAGTTGGGCGGCCCTAGCTTCCTCTTCTCTCTCTTTTTGCAATTGCTTCCAGGCTCTCGCCTGCCTCTCCCGTAGAGCGTCTTCCTCGCTGTCACTGCAAACGTCTGACGCGCCCTTCGAAGCCTTCTCGTGCTCTTCATTGTTCGAGCATTCTCTTTGGCGTTGAGTCTCCCTGACATTGTCTTGTTTCTCTTGCGCAGCGCGTTCCATTTTGTCGAGAGAGAGAGCTCTCTTTCGGAAGAGGTTTTGCTAAACGCGACGAATGCCGGCAGTAACACGACCTTACCACACTGAATATCCTCATCGATTTCTATGTACCGAACTTCGCTCTCCGCCTGCTGCATGGCACGCGTGAGTACTTTCATACACCTGTCCGCACAGCGCGGTTGAACTGCCCGCACTTTGTCGGGGTGGACGAGAACGGCAAGACGCTTGTACTGTTTCTTCATTTCACGCAATGTTGCGTTGCGCGCAGATACGCAAAAAACGTCCATGAGGGTTGTCACACCTTCTTCCACAGTGGCAAGGTGACGGATTCCCTGCGCCATGGTCTGGGGCAATAAGCGCATTTTGAAAAGACGAATTTGAAATGACAGCAGAGGAGGGGCACAGGGGTGACATGGCCATGGGGATAGGGAACGATGTTTGTCGTGGAGGTGACAGTCGATAAGGGGGCCACACCGGCGTGGCGTTCATTGATCAACAAAAGCCATTTCACCCCGTTTTTGCCACCAAACCACACCCCATCGCCCCACCAAACAAAAATCTCCCCTTATTTTATTGCGCGTTGGTGATTTCTCACAAAAAGGTACATGCGCATGGAAAATTGTCGCTGATTACCAGCTGCACGAGGAGGCCGATGTGAAAGAGTGCGTCGACGAGCAGACGTACGCTGCCATCGCCGCGCGCAAGCGCAAGGAGGCCCGCGATTTCATCGACGCCGACATTGATCCCGACGTCGACGATGTCGACCACGCGGCCTTTGGCATGGAGCGCGAGTTCGACCTGGAGGACGAGCTCTCCGTCGTCAAGGCTGGGCTGCGCGAGGGCCGGAAGAGGAAGAGAAATCAGCCCGGCCCAGTCCGCCCGCCGTTGCGGCACGAAGCGTCGCAATAAACGAAAGGAAAAGGACGTGATCTCTCCTCATTCGGCCGCAGCCGAGGATCAACTTCTTTCGTCGTATTCTCTCCCTCTGCCCCGCCTCTCCGCCCCTCTCCGCCCCCCACCATCCCCCGCCCGCCCACGACCACTTCTAGCACTCTTCCCCCATGTCATGGCGATCCCCCGCCTTCCTCCCCTCGGCCCCCCTGTCGTCCGCGCCATGCCCCGTCCCTGCGCCCCCCTAACATTAACCGCCTCCGCGCCCTCCGCAGTTTGGCAGTGGTGGTAGTGGTGGTGGTGGTGGGTTTGTCCGTTGGGGGATAAGTGTCTTGACAGCAGGTGAACCCCTTTTGAGAGCCCTTCCAACATTCCTTCATGACGCAGTGGGAACGGAAACGGCGGCGATCACAATACAGTTTGACCTTTTCGTAACCCCCATATCCAGCTCGGCATTGGCATGGGCATCTCGTGGACGACCCGCTTGACGACCCACTGCGAATGGAGTCAGGGATCTCAGCAGCGAGTACCGAAGCCAGCACAAGAACAAAGAGTGCGAGGAAGAGAGTCAGCTTGATCATTGCGTGAGGTCGGTTGGAGAGTTGGAGTTGTGAGTGAAATTAACGTTTAAATGCTGGATACGAGTTGGTGAGCATCAGGGGAGGAGGGAGGGTGGTCTCAGGGCTTTTTATAGTGAAGAGCGAGGCGCTGTCCCAAGGCAAGAATGTGTGACACAAGTCGTCTCGCTCGCATCGGAGCCGCCGCGCGCGCGCCTGTCCGACGACACGCGCGCGCTGCTCCACGCCAAGTACCCGTTTCTCGCGGAGCAGGACCGCCGCATGGACGCGCTCATGTCGATGCCAGACTACCGCCCGGACGACTACCGCACCTACTCGTGGGCGTACCGCACGCTGAGCCCGTGGGCCCCAAGCCGTCTCCTGCAGCTGCTAGGCCTCGTCGCCACCTTCGCCGCCGCGCGCGCCGCGCGCCAGGCCGGCAACGAGAACTGGGACAGGGAAGCGGCGCATGATGCGAGCAAAGAGATTGATTTTCGCCCAGGGGCTTGTGGAAAAGCAGTTAACGGATGTGAAATCATCATTGTGGACGCAACAGGAAATGCTGTATGAAAGGCTGTATCGCCCACAACTCGACAAAACTTGACTGCTTGGCAATTTCTGCGGCGTGGTGGATATCAGCAGCCGTGTACACCATACTGAACGGGAGAATAAAAGGATCCACGCTGGGATGTTTTGCGGAGACGGTCATGTTGAGCCAAGCGGCCAACGTGAGTGCACTCAAAACTTGCTCCCGCCGCTTTGTGCAGCGCATTTGTACATTTTACTCCCCCTTCGCTGGACACGGAGTAACGTAACAAACGTGATGCTGTGGCGTATTGTGGAGGTTGAAACAGTCGATAATGGGGCCACATCGGCGTGGCCGATCACGAGATTAATTGTCCCTACAGTATCCGTGTTCTAGAAATGTTGAGTTTAATAGCTCGATTACTTGCCATTTTGGACTACTACACGGGCGAAGAATCCCAATTGTGTTGTTTGGGACGGGTGACCAAAGGCGACATTTCAGTGGTCGGGTCTAACATACTACTGATATTCTTCCCTTCGCCCCCCTTGTGCAACAAATTTTCGCCATTCACCCCCTCAACACTACAAGAAAAGCCATTTCACCCCCTTTTTGCCATAAAAAGACCACGATCGCCCTACTAAACGCAAAATCTCCCTTATAGTTTTTGCCACGCGTTTGGGGAATAAGACGCGATAGCGTCCACCACCATAGATTTTTTTAAACAATAACTGCATGGGCAGTATCAGCGCCTCATTGGCCTTCAATAAGGCAAAGGGTTTTATGATAGCATAAAAACTTTTCTAGGAATATGCAAAAGTACCAGGTGCCTTATAGTTTTTGCCAGCACTGTACTACAGGACGGGCTTTAAGCCCGTTCTGTAGTATAACATCGGGTCCCCAAAAAATTAGAAAAATAATAACACACAGTACTATGGATATTTTGTCATGATATGAAACGGTAGGCGTAAAATGATTAAAATTAAAATATTCAGTCAACGATTTTTTTCACTTCAGCTATGGTTCTCATTTGCGCGGGCTTCGCTTGCCATGGCCTGTGTGTCGTTCGGCCATCCCACCGTGAAGAGTTCTCCTCCTCTTTAGCCACCTAACTTCACATCTTCGTGTTCCAGCTAGGTGGGACATAACACCCGGTTCATTTTCGTGATAGAGAAGTCCAAAGGGGGGTTTTGCTTGCGAAACGATTTCCGGGGAGCATCCTTGGCTCGGTCGTTCTGTCCAGAGCCGCATAGGAGCTTCTGTGGCAGTGTTTGAACCAATTTTATGACACCAGGGATGTCAAACCGACCCGGGGGCGGAAGCAGTGGAGCAGGGGATCCTCGCAACACTCAAAAGACGCCAAACTTTGTCTCTCCCGAATGCCGGGAACTCTTGCCGGGAAGCAAGTAAGTGTTTAGGCAAATTTCACGACACAGCTCGAAGGGTCCACAAGGCAGAACGCTGTTAAACACTGCCTTTTTCTGTTAAAATGACATGGTGCTAACGCATTCTTTTCATATTTATGCCTGTTTAACCGTATTTCGTGAAAGGCTTTCTGAGTTGTTAAACGAGGTCGCGCCAGGGGAGGTTTTAGACCCTGACGTCGAAGAGGTTCGTATCTTCCCAGCCTATCACAGTCTCCAAGAACCTATCAGAGCATAATGCGCGAGCAGCGAATGGTGTCTGTCCAACCGCGGTTGAGCTGAACTCTAACACCATATCGAATTGATTGCGCTTCACTGCACTTCTTGATTCCGTTTACTCGCTAAGTTCCTGCAAGAGCACGTCGATGAGTTTGTTGATAATGTGACGGAATTCGCTTGTCGTTTCGCAAAGCATAGAAAAAGCCGTGTATTGGAAGCCAGAGACATCCAATTGCATTTAGAGAAGAACTGGAATATTCGTGTTCCCGGGTATGGAGACGACCCGCGCCCGGTGAAGCGGACGGCCTCGACACCTGTCCACCAGGCGCGCATGCAAGCGATTGCCAAGAGCCAACATCACCAGGGATAGTTTGGCACGGCCAGAGATGTAATAGGCCGTCATGCAGAGGGTGTGGTAGTTCTCATTGTACGATATACACACTCCCAATGTTGTCTGTATGCCATTCGCCGTGTTGTGCTCGATATATCATGGGTGATGATAGATTCTGATGGGTGCTCGCACAGAATGACGCATGCAACCTTATTCGTAGTAACTGCCGGTATCCTGCAAGAGGCACTCAAGTTACCTTCCTCTTGCGGCAACCCAGTAAGAGTTTTGCGTAATTTACTGTACTGTATACAAAGACATCATTGATATGTTACTTTAATCATTTTGTGAAGTGCTGTTCTTACGAACCCCACGGTGCAGTACTAGCTTCTAGTAGACGGAGTAGGGCATCATCTCAATCTTGTTTTCTGCGATAAGGCGCTGGAACTCCTCAGCAGATACGGTCTCCTTCTCGATCAACATTTCTGCCAGGGCATCAAGGAGCGGGCGATTGTTCGTGAGCAGGCTCTTCGCACGTGTGTAGGCCACGTTCACAAGGCGTCTAACTTCGTCGTCAATGTCTGTCCTCATCACGGAGCTCAGTTGGGGAGATCCTGATGCCATTTGACGTCCCAAGAAAGGGTTAGATCCCTCGGAGCTGACGACGAGTTGGCCGACCTTCTCAGACATTCCGAACCTGGTGACCATTTGCTTGGCGACCTGAGTGACTCTTTGCAAATCGTTGGAAGCACCTGTAGTCACCTCATCATCTCCGTAAATAATTTCCTCTGCAATGCGTCCTCCGAGGGCGACAGCTAGCTGACCCTCCAGGAACTGACGAGAGTAAAGGCCAGAGTCAACGCGCTGCTCGTTGGGTGCGAAGAAGGTAAGTCCACCAGCGCCACCCCGCGGAATAATACTGATCTTCGCCACTTGGTCATAATCTGGAGTCAAAGCTCCGACAACGGCGTGTCCAGCTTCATGGTAGGCAACGAGCTTTTGGCGCCTAGGAGTCATGACAGCATCCTTCTTCTCGGCACCAACAGTGATACGATCGATGGCGTCACTGACCTCATCCGGGCCAATTTCAGTCTTCTTTCGTCGGGCAGTGAAGATGGCGGCCTCATTCAAGAGGTTCTGCAGAGACGCACCCGAGAAGCCTGGGGTACGACGGGAAATTTGCTCGAGATCAACGTCCTTTGCTAGCGGTTTACCGCGCGCGTGAACCTTGAGGATGGCGAGACGACCGCTGAAGTCAGGGAGGTCGACAATAATGCGGCGGTCAAAGCGACCCGGTCTCAGCAACGCCTGGTCAAGCACATCAGCTCTGTTCGTGGCAGCGATGACGATGACACCAGAGTTACCCTCAAAGCCATCCATCTCCGTGAGCATTTGGTTGAGCGTCTGCTCACGCTCATCGTTACCACCAGCAATTCCGGCACCCCTCTGTCTGCCGACGGCATCAATCTCATCAATGAAAATGATGCATGGGGCGTTCTTTTTGGCGTTCGCAAACAGGTCACGCACGCGAGACGCACCAACACCGACGAACATCTCCACAAACTCAGACCCGGAGATGGAGAAGAACGGGACACCAGCCTCGCCGGCGACAGCGCGAGCGAGTAGGGTCTTACCAGTTCCGGGGGGTCCCTCGAGGATGACACCGCGCGGGATCCTAGCGCCAAGCTCAGTGAAGCGCTCCGATTCCTTGAGGAACTGGACGACCTCCTGGAGCTCGAGCTTGGCGCCGTCGACGCCAGCGACGTCCTGAAAGGTGATACCAGTCTCCGGGACCATGGCGACACGGGCGCCGGAGCGCTGCAGATCCATGGGCCCGCCCATGCCGCCGAATCCACCGCCACTGCCACCACCGGCACGGCGCGACAGGAGGAACAGACCTCCGAACAGCAGAGCAGGGAAAATCAAGGAGCGGATGAAGTCGCCCGCGCCAGATTCCGGCTGCGACGGCAAGACGGTGACGTCAACCTTGTGGCCGGTGAGGGTCTTAAGCAGGTCCGGGTCGTTCGGCAAAGCGTCGAGCTTGAAGCGGTTGCCTTCGGTATCGACGGCAAGAAGACGTTGGCCATCGGCGGAAAACGTGACCTTCTCGACCTGATCCTTCTCGACGGCGTTGATGAACTCGGAGTACCTCCAGTCTTGGACGCCGTTGGAGGCCGGGGCCGGGGTGGCAGAGTCGCCCCCAAGCGAGCGGGACATGGAGGCGGAGGTCTCCTGGCGGGCGCCGGTCATCTGGACCGGATCTGCTGCGGCGTTCGCCGGGACGGCGGAAGAAGCGGCCACGGAGGCCAGAACGGCGGCGGCCGCGGCGTAGCTGGCGGCGCGTTTCGCTTCAGCTGAGAGCAGCGCCGAGACTTGGTGCAACTTGGGCGTGGCAGGGGTCGGGTCTAGAAGAATGGCGGGGAGCGAGCGGGGGCGGGTGGCAGACATGGTGGGGGTGACGGAGCGGGTCGCGCGCAGACGGCGCAGGGGTAGGCCGGCATGCGAGACGAAGGCCATGGGTGCCATGTTTGGGGGATTCTCTTGGGACGGGGGACGGTTTGCAAGGGCGTTGTGCCGGTGAGAGATGGAGGTCGGCAGAGATTATGGGGCAATTGGCGAAGTGGTTTTGAGGGCTTGAAAAAATGGTGGTGGCGGGCGGGAGGTAACTCGCGGGTGGATAGGGGATGTGTGCGGTGCTGAGGGGGTGGAAGGCATGACCACACAGGGGGTTCACTGTGGTTAGCAATTGGGAGATATCTGGCCAATAGCCGGTTGGTTCGAACAGGTGTGGCATGCAGGAAAGGCGTGATTTTCAGGACAGGATAGAAAATTATATTGGAAAACTGTGCCGTTGTACCTCCCGGCCGCCTGCGTTCTTCCCGAACTCGACTGATCCGCCCCCCGGAACGGTGCCAGTCTCACAATATGGGAAATCCAGTCTCTCAGCAGCTCGCGTTCTGCTGCGCTCCCGGTTGGCTGTTCCTTTCAATTGCGCATACTGTAGAGAGCCCGCCTCTGCCTGACTTTTCTCAACTGCGATAGCTGTGCGCACGGCAAGGGCAAAGTATCGGGGACATTGTTGAGCAGGATGGCGGTGCCTACTTGAGACGTAATCTATTATAGCTAGAGTTAAGCACGACAGGAAAAAGAAGAGCAAGACATATTCTGTCATCTTCGAGCAGGTCCAACGCGGCCAAACAGCGTTCGCAATACTACTGTTCATTTATCTGCGGTGGATAACAGTTGCTGTAGTTCTCACCAGTCTCGCCGGGTCTGCCATTGTTCCTCACTTCTTCAAATCCATTTCGACTCACGGTTAACGCAAACTCCCATCGTCGCTCCCATCGTCGGCCCCATCGCTTCTTGAAGCAACCGAACAACTTGCACAAGTCCTCCATGACGCATCTCCATACACTTTTTAGCCGAGCACTTCGTTGTACTGTACAGTGATGTACACGTGATCCGTCATGGACTGCTTGCAGTGGCACGCAGTCGTCTCTTGAGGTCCCAGTGGTCCTTATGGTCCAAGAACCAGCCTGCTCTTGGTCTGTAATTCTTCGGGAACGTTATGAAAAAAAAAAAAAAAAAAACCCTCTGCGTCAGGTCCGTGCTGCCCACTCCCCTCATCCCAGCTCAAAACTGTCGCATCGTCCTTCCCCACGTTTCAGAGCTTTGTCTGAACACCCACATTCTCAAGGCGAAGAATGAAAGACCGTTGTAGCCGACCGAGGAGAAGTCCCGCCTCACTTACTAGCCACGCTATAGCTAATGACAAAGTCTGTTGTTCGAAATGTATTTGCGACTGTTCCTTACAATGAGCCCAATTCTTGCTCCTTTTGTTTTGCAGTTTTCGCAACTACATACAGACAGGTCCTGCACCCGTTTGCGGATCATGGCAACACAGGTCTCCAAACAATCACAATGCAAGCTTGGAATGGACTAAGGCTTTGTTCAGAGCCGCACGCAGCTTCGGAAATGGCGATAGAAATTACACGAAATTCAACTCCTGTGGTCCGGCAACCTCAAGGAGATGACGAGCTTTGGTGGCCATCAGAGATGAGCTGCGACAGAGATTGTAAAACAACCAACTCTTCTGGTCCGGCAGTCTCAACAAGGTGACGAGCAGCAATCGATTTTGATTCTGCGGAATGCCCTCCCTGGAGCGCCACCAGGAAAGCATCATGAGCAACCATATCGCTTGCTGCCAATCCGGGCAATCCGTATCTGAAAAGCACTCCGGCATTCATCATGGCATCCGCATTTTGCGTTGCATGAGCTGTTCGCACAAGTGTGTAGACTTGCTCGGCACTCACCAGCTTGAAAATGTCTTCTGAATCTCCGCACTCAGCCAAAATGTGCGCAACTGCCGTGCAGGCTTCCAAATCACCAGCGACAGCTGAGACGAAGAGCCGGTGAATGCCAACCGACAAGTTCCTTTGGCATTTCGCCGATGAACGAGCAAGTTTCCAGTACTGACCTGGTCCGGCATGAAGCAATCCGAGTGTGGTTTGCGCGCAGAAGTTTCCGCTGTCAACGTCACTCTCCAAAATCTCGACGGCATGTTCGGAAAAATTACCGCCCACATGTAAGTTTGATTGTGAAAAAAGGATTTGCAGCCTCTCCATTGTCAACTTGGCCAGCACCACGCTGTGTTTTTTTAGGAGATTTCGACAAATAGCAATGCGCCGATAATCCCACAGCGGTAAGTGTGCCCTTCCAGAACGCACCCATTCCAACTCTTGCGCTGTTAGGCCAATGGCTTGGTCTAGGAGGGTCAACGCCCGACATGGATCCCATGGTACAATCGCAGCTGCCAGATTCAGAGGATCGTTCAGGTCTACTCTGGCTACCCAAATTTGCGCCATGGCTTGTGTCGTGCGCCGTTCTTTGTTCTTCGGAGTAGGCGTACTCCCCTCGGGAGTTGGGTACATCAGCCGACTAGACCGAAGCTTGGCTGGCCAAGATGCCTCGGAGAACGCAATCCGAATCGCTCGCTGGATATCCTCCCCCCGCCGAGTGGTTTCTTCCTGATCGCCGAACAGAGCTTCTCGATAGTATGTGGATATGTGAAGTGATCTCAGGCTCCACTCCACCATCGGTTCAGTCCAGTTCGGCACGTTGATCAGGGGCTCTCGCAGTGTCGCCAGAAGTTCCACCACTCTCTCAAAGCACAACACACCGCTCTTGATACGTTGTGGAGAAGTGTTGTTGATGCCATATGTTTCAAGGAAAAACGAGAAGAACCTTTCCATCGCCATGGCTACATCGAAGACGGTTCTCAAGGTCAGTGACGTAGAATCGCTCGCAGCCTGCTCTTCACGTAGGGATCCGTTAACAATCTCCGACTCTGAAAATAAGTTGTCAGCTATATTCTTGCAGACGAGCTCGTGTACATGGTGCTCTGGAAGGCTACCGCGAATCATGATGTAACTGCAGTCATTCGCAAGATCTGCCCAGACACACCAGTTTTCTCCACGAATCGATTGGAGCAACCAAGTATGAAGGCTGTGGATCTCGCCCTTCTGCGGATTCGGTAATCCAGTCCTCAGTGCGAGCCTTCTGGAAAATACCTTCGCGGCCTGCACGATTCCCTCCTTTGCGGCATCGGCATGAGTCTCAAGCTTTCGAAACCAGCGATGGGCACGACTCCTTGTGAGATATGTCTCGATAACCTGGATAACTTGGTTGACATTATCAATCCTCCACGTTTCCGAGGCAACTTCGCGTTTGTCGTGAATAATGTTCAGCACGCAAAGCACAACATTTTCAACAGACAATCGATGTTCCCCCAGGGGGGCCGTAGTACATGCGGGTAAAACTGAAACCGTCGGCAGCGTCTTGACCGTCGGTGCAGTTGACGACTCCGATGGTTTTCGATCGCGAGGCCGGAGGCAGAGCGTTTCGGAGACGAGGCGGTCAACTGCACGCTCTATGGACTCATGGCGATCAGGCCAAGGGTGATCAGGTAACTTTTGGTCCAGCAGTTCAACGACATGAGCAGGTTCTTCTGCATCGTCATGCTTCAAAGTGAAGGTGCTGTTGCAGAAATTGGCAAAGTCAAAGACAGCAAATGCGACATCAAAGAGCAACATGAGCGTGGGCTTGCGTGCATGACGACCGCGCTGTCTGCTGGCGACGGAGGTAATCCAATTACGATCTTCTGGGGTGAGGGCCGCTCCTTCACGAGACACGAGCTTACTTACAACCTCTGCGATGACAATGCGGACAAGAGCAGCTTTGATGTCGGCGACTTGTTCGATCTGAACAGTCGGGGGCCTCGTAGCTGTGCAGCAAGCAATCAGTCGATGCCAGGGCCCTCTTCGTCGCCAAAACGTAGGCTCGAGCAGATTAAGTGCCCAGGCATCCCAGTCATAGAACGGGTTGCCGGAATCTGCGATTCTTGCAGGGAGGGGGAATGAGGGGCCCGCGGCGATGAAATCGCGTCTCAGGACAGAGAGCCAGGTAGGGAGACGCTCCAGTGCAGGCGCGCGACGTCGGACTAAAGGAGGATTGGGGGCTGAGGGCGGGGCAAGAGGAGGATTGGGGAAACGAATGTGTTCTATGCGACGCCTCTTGGTGGGAAGTTGGGGAGGGGCGGGACGGGGCTGGGTGGGCGCCGGCATGATGGGGACGGCCTCTCTTTCATGATGAGACATCCGTTGTTTGTTTGCAAAGTGAGAGGGATCGTGGATGCAATGGGAACAGGGAATGTAGCATAACGCTATGGGGTGAGGGGGAGTGGGGGGTGAGCGGGGAGTGGGGGGTGAGCGGGGAGGGGGGGACTGATGCCGATGAGACCGGCTTGAATGGATTAGTAGAGGTCGTTCGAATCGGAAGTGGAGGGCGGAATGGAAATCGCTCTGAGCTACGGAAAGCGCGGCAGCATAGGGGTGGGGCGGACTTTTCCTGTCAGAGGCGAGGTGCGGTGAGCAGAGCGGAACGGCGATGGGAGCGCGCCAAAACCAGACCGCTGGGGCGCCTGCGGGCGCCATTGGCAGGGCCGCCGCCAGTTTGCCGGAAGACGAAACACACGGCCAATGAGATGTGCGCACGCTGGGCCCGGCGGCAATAAGCCGCCGGCAACACCCAATGGGTTGGCGTGCTACTCGCTGTAAAGGGACGACGGCGAGGCAACCTCATCCTCCGCGCTAATTGAGAAGCTCCTCTTTGGCCCGGTAGAAGCTTCTGCACGGAGCGTTCTGGTAGGGGCTCTCCCAGCTGATTTTCTCGAATTCCACTGTACGGTCATACAATACCAGTGTCCTCGGGGTCCACGTGCCACGTGGTGCTCGACCGATTCGTGCGCGACTCTAATTTACAGCACCGCTACAGCACTGTAGACCCGGTTGCCACATGTTGCGCCTCCCTCTAACCGTCAAAAACTCATCGTGCGCATCGTTTTTGCGTCTCAAGCGACGTCCTACTCGCTAGTAATGTACTTGTGCTACAAGTGCGCGTCTAGATTATGTAATGCCTTTGCGAACTGTGCAAAATCGCGCATCCCGAAACGACATGTCCGCTCGTTCATATCTGAAGTTACAGCGCTGTAGTTTTATTGCAGAATCACGTATGTACATAGTGAACTGTATCTTACTATGGGTGCTACAATACTTGACAACTTCCACAACTATCTAAAGCATTTGTTAACTTGTTATTACAAGCAGAGCACTTGTCCTGGCTACAGGACATATAAACATAAAAATATCGCGACCTCTATCTTCGTATCCCTTGTGCTTCACACAAATCGAAGTGTGTGCGAAATGGATAGTTCACAGCGGTTTGATGTCAAGCTTTCGGTATAATGCGACCAGAATGGTGGAAACACCACTAAATCTCCCTCTTCCAACACGACCTCAGTTGCTCTATGTGCGCATGACTTCCAAAAGTCCTTAAACATACTCGAATTTGGTCGAGCAAGATTCACTCGTGCTCGTCGGTGCAATGGGTGACCGAGGGGATATATACCCATGTGCTCGAGGCACGCTGGCGGGAAAAAGAGCATCCTCTTCATACCACTCCTCTGTAGAAGGCAGGAATACGAGGCATCATAGTGCAGCCCTGATACAGTACCATGTGTACTCACCCAGATGCGCTCCTCCTGTGCGACGCAAAGAGGTAGCTTCTCTAGCCCTTGAAACTTCCTTTTCTTCTTCATCACCGGGGATTGGATGTACAGTCTCTCTTCATGCTGGTAGCGAAGAGGAGGGAGAGCGTTTCCCTCTTGCATTCGAATCATCGCTTCCCGTAGAGTTATGCTTTCAAGAACACTGGGAGGGGAGAACCTACCAGTGTCAATCCAGGGGTGCGAATCTCGACAGAACGTAACTTCCGCCCCGGCAGAAACCCTACATTGAATTGTATCAACTGTCTTTGAGAGCTCTTCGATAATGGCTTTTGAATTGGAACAGACACCATTCTCGGAAGGGATTACTCTTCTGCTTGCGTGCGGCTCATCAGTTTTCTTGAGAAGTAGATATAACGAAGATTCTGCGTCAATTCGAGTTGTTGCTGCTTGACATCCGCCCTCAGATATAGGTTGTGGGTTCAGTGCGATGTTTGGAAGGCCGCTTCGTAAAAAGTTAAATTCTTGAACGCAAATCTTCTCCGTATCTAAATTTGATTTTACTTGAGCTATGCTTGTCGCCATGAATTCTTTGACGTCATCTACCCAAGGACTCGACCGAAAGACGTACGGCGTAGCCAATGCGTTAAGATTGAACGGCTTCTCGACGGCGGAACCAAAATTTTGATACAAGGACAATTCCTCAGTTAGCTCTACCAAGTCTCGAGCAACGTCGTAGCCTTTTGTAAGAAATGTGGACTCCGAAAGACCTAGATATCCATTCTTTGCATTAGCACATGCATACTGCAACCCCAAAATGAGAAGTCCTTCGTGATCCGGAAATGCCCTGCTGGCCAATCGGTAACAAGGAACTAAATCTCGACTATGCTCCCTCAACCTTATGCTGCCAAGATCTGCAATGGACCTCAGAGCACGTTTGCATAGCCATTTAATGGAATTACATTGCATCATAGCCTGGTTTTCACCTCTTGCCTTCTGGAATAGGCGCAAGAACCACCGCTCATATTCGCGGATATTAAGAGCATCATCTCCAGTCGGCTTGGTTTCGACATCTTCTGCGAGCAGAGCCGTGTCCGAGCAATACAAGCAAACAGCGTAGCTCTTAAGAAGAATAAGCGTGTTTGTATCAAGAGATCTTTGTTTCTGTCCTGGGCGTTGCGATTGCAAACATATATATCGAATGTCTACGCAAGATAACCCGAGAGAGAACTTGGCCGTTTTCGAGATAATAGCGTAAACTGCAGATTTTTCTTCTCGTGATACATGGCTCTGGAGAATAACGATGAGATCCAAATCCGAGTCCCTCTCAGCGGAAAAGTTTCCTGTTGCCACAGACCCACGCAAGAAAATCGCCCTCACGTCCTTTCGCCTAATCACCTCCTGGACTTCTCTGACGATCTTGTCCAATGACGGACGTAGCTTTTGAGTGATACCTAGCCCATTTCTTGGCGGAAAACAGCCATTAGAATTTAGCTTGACAACACGGCCAAAATCTTCGACATAGCCTTTCTGAACAGCCTCTTCGAGCGATTTGCCAACACAGACAGGATTTTGACGCCGAAGGCCCTTGCGTGGAAGGTTGCTCGGGCCAGGGCGAAAAGACGCGAAACGGGTAGCGTTTTGAAACGAAACAATCGAAACGAAGCCAAGGGGCATGGTGCCTGGGTCATTAAAGGGAAGGGCCCAGGCACGTTGTAGTCTGGTCGAGATCTCGCAATTGAAATATTAGCTTGCGAAATTTTGACCCAAGATTCCTCGCGCAAGTGCCGGATTATGACGACGGGAGCAGGACAGAAAGTGCTTCTCACTGGGATACAGATCAAGAAGCTATTGGCTCACCGGGAGCCCTTTCTCCTTGTACGCCACGCAGTTGAGAATAAGATCGGACATGTAGCTACGACAGTGGCGCGTCAAAACGATCGCCTCGAAATTCCGTCTCGCATACACATGCTAGAGGGGCTTGGACAGACTAGTGCATTGCTCATTAAACAGGTGAGTTCCCCTTTCAAAGAATAACATGAAGGATTTGTCTACTGCAAGAATTCTATGATTTGCTCACTCATATTCCGATACGTTGCTTCAGATGCCTATGTACGAAAAGTGTTCCCTCCCGGTATTTGCGGCAATGCGAAATGTGCAATGGACAGAAACGAAAACTTTAACTGGTCAGGTGCTATACACCGCTAAGCTGAAGCGAGCTGTTCGGTCTCGGTTTGGCATTGTGGACGCTTGCGCGCGAGTTGACGGATCAGAGGCCTGCTCTGGAGAGCTTGTGTTTTCTTTTGCCCCAGACGAATAAGGCTACGGACAAGCGTAGTTGAGAGCCCTGCGCGGCGTGTTACAGCATATCCGAGCATCCCGTAAAACCGTTTGCTTTTTGTGCGAAAGTCTTCCATCTCGGAGAACAGAGCAATATCAACGTTGCGTTTTTGACCGCTTTTTTTTTGGCTCGTGATCCAAAATTGACCCCACTGACAGGAGCACTTGTTCATCCTTGGGTGCCTACGAAAGTCCAAGTTGGGCTCGATCTTTTCACCCAAACCACTAACGCACTTGACATTGAAGCAGTACCATGAATCCACTCTTCGTGCTTTCTCGCCCTGTCTTCGCATCTGACACGAGGTCGCAATTGAAGTCGAGGGCGCTTTGTCGGCAGGTTGGCGTAATGCGCCGAGCAAGAACCCCCCGATGCTCAGCAATGACAGCCGAAAAGGCGCGCCTCAAGCTAGAAATAGAGAATGTCGCCGGAGAGCAGCGGGGAATATTTGGGATGGAGGACGACCAACGAGAAGCCTTCGAGAGATTAATTCAAGCGGTAGAGGCGATCAACCCGGTCACTGAACCAACAGCCAACAACGCGGCCGCAGCCGGTGGGAAATGGCGTCTGCTGTACACGAACTTAGAAATCTTGGGTCGGCGGCGCGTCAAGCTAGCGATTGCGACCGAGCGAAAGCCGGGGTTTGTAAAGCTGGGGGATTTTTTTCAGGTGGTGGATCCTGCGACGCGGGTGAGCAAGAACGTCGTGGAGTTCCGCATTCTGACGGGGGGGACGGGTACGTTCACTGTGTGCGCGGAGTATGAGGCGATAAGCAAGACGCGGGTGGAGGTGCGGACGACGGGGGCGGGGTTGGAGCCGAAGGCGTTAGAGGAGCTGCTGGGGGAAAACAAGACGCTGTTGACGCAAATTTTTAATCCAGAGGGGTTTCTTGATATCACATTCGTGGACGAGTCGATGAGAATCGGGAGAGATAACAAGGGTCATGTGTTTGTGCTGGAGAAATGCGAGCAGTAAGAGTGAAGTTGTGTATAGAATTCAGTACACGTGATGGGTGGAGATCAGTTGAAACACTCTCACGCCGTTCTCAAAAGTAATTGGCAGCGATATCGTAAGCACATGATCAATTGCGTTCAGATGGCCCTCCCTCATTCCAGCAACATGCCGCTCGTCCCAGCCTTCTGTCTCTCACCCTTCCGCACCTCGGACCTCCTCTCGCGCCCCGTCACCTTGCGTAGCCCCCTTTCTCATCCCCCCCACCAACACACTGTCTCGATGAAGTACGACATGTCTTCCGTCGCTGCAATTGAGTGGCTCAAACAACCGATCGCTGTGCGCGGCAAAGTGCAACGGGGCTTCGGACGTGGCAGCCGCGATCTGGGCACGCCGACTGCCAACTTGCCTGGTCACTTGGTGCAGGGCTGCGCGGAGGCCGAGCGCGACGGGGTGTATCTGGGGTTTGGGCGCGTGCCCAAGTATGGCGACCAAGTTGTGAAGATGGTTGCCAATCTGGGACGAAATGTTACTTACGGTGATGTCAAGGAGCGCGTGCTAGAGGCCTACTTGTTGAGCGACGAGTTTGACGAAGAGTTTTATGGTGAGGAGATGCGGCTGTGTCTCCTCGGGTTCATGCGGCCAGAGCGGAAGTTTAACTCCATTGAGGAGCTTATGAAACATATCAACAATGACGTCGAGGTGGCGAGGGAGGCGCTGGATGTCCCCGAGGCAATGCCGTTTCGCAAGCATACCTCCTTGACCGAGTGAATCCCTTGACCAAGTAAATCGTAGGGCGCGATATACTGTACCCACTCTCTTGAATCTATCCACACTGGTCTCCCACAATTCTCACCTTTGCCCCGCGACAAGTGAATCCTTGTTCTCTATGTTACTATATAAATACACGTTTAGCTTGTAGAAACCCCTTCCGAACACAACGAGAACCCCTTCCCCACAGCACGACTAACGCGCGGACCAGTCACACTGGCTACAATACTCTAATCCCATGTCCACGGAACTCACCCCTACCGCCACGCCTTGCGCAGACAGCACCGTACCGTCGACTTCCCCTCCCCGTTGCGACAATGACCCCCTCCCCTCCTCGCCCGCTCTTCCTCTCCCCTGCAACCTTTCGCTCACTCTCTTCCGCTCGCTTCCCCCACCCCCGGACCCCCGTCCTCATATTCAAAACCCATGCCTTACAAAGCTCATATGTAGAAAATCCGACTGCTGCGAATAGGGTCGACCAAATGAGCCTAGGCCTGAGCCCCACAAACAAGCCTGGAACTCCATCCTTTCTCACGATGTCCTTAAGGGCACCCACAATGCCCGCCCTTGGGTCGATGAGCCCGGTTGCAAGCCTGGTCTTGATGACGTCCATGGGGGTCGTGCAGGTGCTGCTCAGGACGCCTGCGAGTGCACCCGCAACAACATACTCGCGGGGCTGGAGCGAGTCGCCGCCCTTTGCCATAGTTGCTAGCAGCTTGAATTCCTCGTACAGCGCAAAGCGAATCATTGTGGACGGGATGTTCCTGAGCAAGGTGGCCTTATAGCCTCGATACAAGCCCTGCATGCCCGAAGTACGCACAACGGCAGCGGCGGCCGAAAAGAAGCGACCGGAATGCAGGCCGGCCTGCATTCGCTGCTTGACGACCTCCTTTGGGACGAAGAGGATGGAGGAGGCGACGTTTCCGCACGCGGCGGATATGGCGGTGAGCGGGACGCGGCTGCGGCGATCTTGCAGGGCAGACGGGACGATCGAGGAAAGATGGGTTTTGGCGAGCTCGTACACGCCAAAGTAAAGGGCCGAGGACAGAGCGCTTCCCAGAAGGGCCGGGGCAATGCCCGCATACAGGGCGAGCGGACCACGAGATTGGATAATGGTGACAATGGCGGGGGCGACGCCGCGGTAAGAGGCGGGATCGGTTTGACGGAGGGTTTTGACGGTGTCGAGAGGGTGCAGGATGGTGTTGGTAAACATGCCGGCGAGGGCGCCGGCAAGGGCGAGACGTAGGCCGCGGTGCGAGACGGCCGGGGCGGTGGCCAGTTTGGAAGGGTGGGCCATGAGTGAGGTGTGGGGACAAGGGATCCAAAGGAGCAAGAAGGGCAGATGGAAGGATGCGGAAGAAGATTGACACAGATATTGGGTATGGCACACAATTGGCTGCGGATTCGGAAAATGTGACGATAATAATATCTCAGGTCACTGGCATCCTCACCCTACGGAGCAACACGTCGATAACCAGGTCGCCCGCCTTCTTATATCTCCTCTCGTTAAGCACGGTAGCAAACAGGCGTCTCCTATCGCCGTAGCGCTGCGGCAGCGGCCCCTTTCGTTCGTCCTTGTATCCCAACTCGGCCGGGATGATGATGCGTCGCTTGCCCCCCTCGCGCATGCCGTCAAGCCCCATCTCGAAGCCCTCGATCAACTCGCCGCGCCCCACAACCAGTGACACCTCGTCGGCGTCCTCCTTCTGTATCGGCCAGCCGTAGCGGTCCGCCAGGCGCCCCGTCCATCGCAGCGTCACCGTGGAGCCGGGGGTGACTGGGCGTCCTGTGCCGGGGCGCAGGTCCACCACCTCGACGGGGCGGCACGTCGGCTGGCCTGGGGGGCACGGGAGAGCGCGATAGGCCGGGGCAGATCGCTCTGCCGCGTCGGTTTCAGCAGCTACCGAGGGCGCGGTGAGCGACTGCAACGCGGTGGCGGCGGCGGTCGTCGCCACCAGGCGGAGCAGTGCGCGTCGCGAAGAGGCCACGGTATGTGCTGAAGAGATGAGGGTATGGGTGCGGGCGCGTGACGATGAGGCGGGCGCATAAGATTGCGACAGGAGAGGCGGTGGGGCGAAGGCTAGAGAGTACATGGTGAGACGGGGAGGGAGGGGCCTGCAGATACATGCGACCGAGATACCGAACCGTATGGGAGGATGAGAAAGGAAGTAGGAATGTCGGGATGTACACGTGGATTACGTGTAGATATAGGAGCACACGTTTCCAAGTGTCAGCGAGGGGTTGGGACAATTCGGCAGCAAGGACGTGTGCAGATGGTGGCTACGGCTCTTTCACATCCTCCGTGTATCACAAGCCGCGGGTCATATCCACAGTAATGTCCCCACACATCTTGCTTAGCGACATCCCACATCCGTTTCACATCCGGACAGATACCATCACCCTTCCTTCAAGCCTCCATACCGAGCGTCCTCTCCGCTGCGGTCAGGCCCCGCAGCCATGTTTCAACATATTAACTTGTTTTCGAGCTTGGGCTGGAAAGTCGGCAGTTGGTGGCCGGGCATTGTCCTCGCCATCATCGGAAGGTGCGTTACATGCTTGCGCTTTTTCACCATATTACCGCCTTGGAAACCGATAGCACCCGTCGAAGTGCATGCTGACGCTTCCTTTTCTTGTTTCCCGCTCTGCTACTGCGTTTGCCCATCCGAAACAGCGTCGTACGTATCCATCTGTCGCTTGCTTTCCAGTCAACCGCCACGTTCAGTTCCTAGTCAAACTCTAACACCTCCTTCTGCCACACTACCCCCATCTCCACCTCCTCTGTCCCTACCCCAGTTGAACAACATGGGTACAAACATAATGAAGCTCGCAATCAACCGACGCCTGCTGCTCCCCCCCGACGAGCGCCCGCGTCTCTCGCGTCTCCCTATGTGGACAGGCGGGTTCGGCATGTTTGCCCTTGGCACCGCCATGTCCTTTGGCGCCTTCAAGTTCGCCGCTCAATCCCTCCTCTCGGGCTTGGGCTCCGTCCAGTTTCTCTCCCAGGTCTTCTTCTCGCGTTTCATTCTGCACGAAAAGATTGAAAAATACGCCTACGCGGGTGTCGCCCTCATCATCACCGGCTGCATCTTCATCGTCATCTTCGGCGCCCACGGTACCAAGAACTACCGCCCCGAGGAACTTGCCGCCTTGTACGGAAGAAGTGAATATGTGTGCTACTTGTTAGGCGCCGGGTTTTTGGCCTGCGTCGTTTCCTTGTCCTACTCGAGTATGAAACAGAAGATCATGCGCGATAGGGGGATTGGACGCTTCGATATCGCTAAGAGCACCATCCGCGAGCGACAGGTTCTCGCAGTGTTCTTTTCCATCAAGTCAGCCTTGTTTGGTACCCAAGCCGTCGTGCTCGCAAAGTCACTGTCCATGCTCTTGATACAGGCCCTGCATCCGAATCCGGCCTACTCCAACCCGTTGTTTTCGTACCAGACCTACTTCATTATTCTTGGTTTCATTGCAGCCGCGACGTACTGGGTCACACGACTGAACCATGGCTTGCGTTTGTTCGAGGCCGTTTATCTTATCCCTATGATGCAGATCTGTTGGATTTTGTTCAGCACCATCGCGGGTGGTATATACTATGAAGAGTTTAACGGCTTCGGGCAGAAAGAGTATGGAGCTTACGCCGTCGGCTTCGTCTGTGTATTGGTTGGCGTCGCTATGTTGTGTCCGCGGGACGACACAAAGTCGCTCAATGCGGCCGATGTCATTTATGATATCGTGTCGGAAGAAAACCCCCTCGTGTCGCCGTCGGCGCGGCCTAAGTTTCAGCCGTTTTCCGAGGAGGAGGAACACGAAGTTAACGGCCGGCGGTACCGGCTAGTGCGATCTGATGACTTTGATGCACAGGAGGAAGGCACCAGAGAAGTTAAGAAGCAGACAGACGGTCTGCCAGCAGAAGTGCCAAAAACGCCTGAGGCGGCCGCGTTCACCGAAGAGCGTACGCCGGCTGAAGCTTCAGCAGCTCATGGGACAGGGAAGGGGGTGTAGTGTAAAGCGGTGCAGATATCTTGACTTGTAGTTCATAACAGTCATGGGTCGGGAAAGAGACTGCCGTCCGGAAAGGTACCCAATGTAAATAGTTAAGGTAGGCTGAGAAGATGTGTTGCAGGCGTTAATGATGTCGGGGGCTGGCGCACAGGCAAGAATAGGTGTGCAGCATTTTTTTCTCTTCGTGATTTTTTTAATCCTGGACGCGAAACTCTTACGATCCCGTAACATAAACCATATGATCAACAAGAAGCGACTAATATGCGATGCCACGACGACGTGGAAGAAGCTGCGCTTACAATTTGGTAACAACAAATATCCCGAAAGGTCTCGGCAACAGAAAACAAGCAAATAGATGAAAACGACGCTCTGCAACCGACGCAAGTGACCTGACGAAGTTAGTCAAAAACCCAATGAATGTTAGTTGCAAACACTAAACGAGCTTAGCTTTCAGACTACAGAATCTTCCCAGGTCCCATTTCCCATAAGTCTTCACGGGCTTAGCAAGAACCTTAACCCCAAGTAAGCAACATGACATCCTCCTAGAGAACAAGACTGGTCAGTGCCTCCAGCCGATGTCTCTGACCCATCATACCCATACCGATCCACGTTTCCGGGGGTGACCGATATATCATCCCTTATTCGCCACCAACTCCCCCGGCAGCAACCCTTAGACAACTAATAATAGTTGTTATTGCTGTTGTCATAGTCACTCTGAGGGCGACGCTGTCTGGGAGGGCGGCGGTTGGCACGATCGACACGCACATTCCTTCCATCAACAGACACACCATTCATGCCAACAAGGGCATCTTCGGCCGAAGCCGCAGTTTCATACTGGATAAATCCAAACCCACGAGACTTACGCGTGAAGCGATCGATGACCACGCGAGAGTCGACGACGGTGCCGTAGCTGGAGAAAGCGGCACCCAAAGACTCATCGGTGGTGTCCCAGGACAGGTTTCCTACGAAGAGCTTGGTTTCCTCAAGGGCAGGGGGCTCATCCATGGGACCGTCCTGCATCTCCATCTCCATGGTGAGCTTAGGCGCCAGTGAGGCAGGGGCGATGCATACAGTGCGGGCTGAGCGAGCAAAAGAGCGGAGCGACCCCGACAAGGGGCTGACCATGGAGAGGCGGGCGGAGGAGGCCAGGGGCACGGCCAGGGGAGTAACGAAGGCGGACATGGTGTAAAAGGGCAAGACGGACGAGGAGATGGGCGGGGTGGGGGTGGGGGCAAGGGGCGGGAAGAGAAGAGAAGAGAAGGGAGGAGGGGTAGATGTCGAATGGAGTCAAGAGCAAGTGGACGGGCACAACGGCGGTAATACAAATCTCAGAATTGGGAGCAGATGGAAAGAAGAGGGAGCCCAGGGGGCGGTTTGGGTACTTCTGGGAGATTATTATGCGGGGACGGCGGTATTGTGGCCTTCTGAGGCCTCAAACGTCAGATCTCCTCCGCGACGGACGACCGCGTCAGACGAGCTCGATTCTACCGTTGGCGCTCCGCCGCTGGGTCGTCCACGGTTGCTAAATGTCACCACTTGGCCTCCTCCTATTGGCTTCCATAGATATTATCTGTAATGTCGTCGCCCTATTACCTTGTGTAAGTACCTCACAACGCAAACGATTGGACAGTCCAAAAGCTTACATCTTTCTTGTTATGCAGACACCTCTTACAGTTCAGATGAGCTCATTTGCTGCAAAATGATTGTACGGTTCTCCTCGAAGCCAGCCCCCTTCATTTACCTAATTACTATCGACAGCAACTAATTGAAACTATAAACTGTGCCTTTTTTTTTTTGAACTAAAGCAATACTGCCATTCCTCTTTCTACGGAGACATGTCGCACTGTCTATGGATAGCACTATCCCACGAATGACAGAGAACTGCGACATGCTTCCAGCCCCTCTCGCATAAGAATGAGTCTCCGTGTCAAGACAAAAGAAAAGGGCGGTAATTCGATCCTTTCTATCCTTCATTTACACGGCGAAAGAACAGACGAGCAGAGCACGGACTTGTAATTGCATTCACTTTCAAATATACGCATGCAGGCCACTTGACTCTACATTTTATATCGCAAATCAGGGGGGGTTCAAAAACCATCCTCAAAAGTAAACCCACCAGTCTTCAATTCTACATCAGAATGCACTCCATTGGCATCCTTGTACAATAGTAGTTTGTGTGCGTTTTCTAAAAAACCGCCGCTCCATGCCTCCCGTCTCATGCTAACAAGGCAAGAGAAGGATATTCCTTTGTCCACTGAATGAATGCAAACAATCGCGATGCTTCACGTCAGGCTCTTATCTCGTGATGAGAGTGTATGGAACGTTTTGTTTTAACTCAAAGGCAAATTTATTCCACATTGATCTTATATAGGTGCGTCTCATCGGCCAAAGTCCCTGCAAAGAAACCAAAGACATACCTAACGACACAACGGCACATTTATGCGACTTATCTTCAACAGCAGTAGGGCAACAACAGCTGACACTTTAAATGGGCGTGACAGTACCGGGATTACCTCCCTAACCATCGAAATCAGATTTTGGGCAAGACACCGTAATACCCGAGGCTACTCTTGCACAGAGCAAAGATTGCATACCGTCTCCTCACTATTTAAATTATTTCACATCCCGAACCGACGTCTTTTTCAAAACACGAATCTTTCAAGCAGGCTATACCGTACAACACCTGAAAAGTGATGCCACGTGTTGCATTCGTTCCATGCGAGAGGGTTGAGGTTCTAGTGGGTCCGCGGGTCGTTTCTCGGGCCCCGCCTGGACTCGCGGCCTGGTATCAAAGTCGAAGTCAACCGTTGGGGTGGCGGGCAGGGAGAGGGGACGCGGCCCGTTGAGGATTGCATGGAGATGGACGAAAAGCAGATTTGCAACATACGAATGTATTGTGTCGCGCAAACGTAGAACGAACGGTTCGAGTCTGCGAGTCTGCGATGGATGGAGAATCAAATGAGAATGAAGAGGGCAGGTTGTTTTGTTGTCGTATGGATTTTGTTTTAGTGGTACCACAGCACCATGTGGAATGGAGATGAAATGCGAAGGTTAAGACGCTTTCGCTCGTTGCAGGAGGGTGTGCTGTTGCGATGACGAGGCGTGATGCAATGGCAGAGGCGAGAGAGGCGGTTTCTGGTGCTATAGGGGGATTTGAGGGACGCGTGGCGTGGACGAGAGACTTGTGGATGGAGGGGAGATGTTGCAAGGGACTTAAAGTATGGAGTACTGTACGTGTTTGTTCTGACTGACACGGAGAATGGAAAATGGTGTTGGAATGCGATGGCGAAGCGTTTTGCCTCTTCCGGCGCACAGGCGTAAACCAAGCTGTGGAGACGGCGTGAGGGACAGAGTACTACAAGCTACGGCAATACGATTTCGGTAGGCTTTGACGCATCAAGCTGACGACACAGCGATGTGGATTGCTACCCTTGACCTTGTTTAGCACGCATGGTGCGAAAACCGAGGGCCAGGATGCGGCAGTGCCAGGTGCGGAAAGTGGGCGCAGGGGGCAGAACGGTCGAGCGGGGGTCTATGGTATCCTGCGGTTATCCACAGGCAGCCAAGAAGCTGTTATGAAAGGAGGTAAAAATCGGGGAGGCTGTGTGTGGGAGGCTGTGTGCAGGGTATGTCTTTGAGCGGGTCAGCCAACGGGCTTCGGACACGGTTGGATACGGTATCTGCGTGACGGTGTGCGGTGCGTTTCGGCGAATATCTGGAGCGAGATATTTGGGCGCACGGGTGGAAACAAAAACGTTAAACGCACAGCGCGACGCACACGGCATCGTGCGGGCGGTCGTCCAACGGGGGCGCGCCAGCTGTGTGCGGCGGGACCAACGGCGCGTCACTACTGTACCGTGGTACAGAACTGGAGCGTACTGTACACGTAGCACTGCAAACGAGGCCCATGTGCGATGCGGCGGCCGCGCGCCGACGGGCTGGCGGGGCGCAGTTGGTGCCAGGGTTGTGATCGCGGTGATCGGTTTGGCGGCGGCCGGCGTCTCCGCGCTGGGGCGCGCGAGGCACGGCGGAAACGCGACGGCGCGGAAGCGGAGGCGGTGGGCGGCGTTTGGCGCTGCAGCGTGCGGCTATGGGGCTGCGGCGCGTCGGGGGCGGCGCATGGCCCATTTGGATTCCGCCGGGGGGAAACTCCCGGGCGGGCGCGGCTACCGAGGAGGGGCAAGTGCCGCACATGCGCGGCTACCGAGGCGAATGGAGGCAGTGGAAGGCCCAGGTCGGCACGGCGCGCGAATCTGCAGGAGCAGCTTCCGCCCAATGTTGTGGCTGCCTATCGTCACGCGTATGCTCTGCTCCCCCCAAAAATATCGCCCTCTACTGTACAGAAAAAGCCACCCCCCCTGGGCCTGGATGACATCAGACGCTCCCCCATGTTCGCGCTTATGTCCCGTTTTCAGCCCCTCCCACCTCCTTAAGATGCTTCAGTAAAGACTTGCCCCTCTTCCGCCACCCCCCCTCCTCCCTCCACAGCCGCCCCCACCTCTCCCCAACTACGGCTCACCACTTTTCTTCTTCGCTT